TATAAATATTAATATATATATATATATATATATGCTCATATATATTTCTGCGTATATATGATATATGTCTGGGTGTGTATGTATGTGCATGTTGTATGTGTAGCCATTTATCTATGTGCGTATACATGTGTTGTTTTTCTATCTACGTTTTATATTTAGCCCTGCCGTGATATATGAAGATATACTTCTTCTTGGTTATTCCAAGGTATATCCAAACCGAGATATATTCATTGTTGACTCCCTCTACAGTATATCTTCTGCTATTTCTTATGTAGGTCACCGTTTGAATACCTCTGACGTACATGCTCACAATGTTTTTAAACGCAGATACCAGCGAAGACTATGCCACAAACCTCCACCGTTGCCGGTAAGCGCAAGGATCGCTCAGAGAAAGCCGCCGATGTGAGTCTGTGTCAGTGTTTATGATTCGTGCCAGCTATCTAAGCAATAGACGAGCACACTCCCAGACGCACACAGTGATACCTTGACTATGCATGTTGGAAGTCCGTCTGGTTGCTTCGTATCACCTCTCTTCGGTTTGCGGGAGGAGAGAGAGCGGGGGGGTAATGCGATTGTTGATGGGCGTTAGTATACCTTTTGTGTTCGTATTTGTATCCGAGCACAATGCAGTGGGATTCTTGTGGCTGACTGCGAAGGATCCACCTCTGAGTTCGTGAGGGTTCAGGGGTTTAAGGTTTTAAAACGTGAACTATTTTGTCATTCTCGTATATGTGCGTATGTGTCTGACCTCGTTTCCATGATCCTGGATGTGTTCGTAACACATACCTTGGGGATTGTGAGGTTCAATTGCTGTACAAGTATGTATCCGATTATACAAGTGTAAGCGCATGTGTTTTCTCTCTCTCTCATCTACGATTATAACTCACGCGCTGGTGTATCTGAGGCACTATACCTTCAGATGACAGGGTCCCGGTATTGTCCCGGTATTGTTTCGGTATCTAAATCCGAGTATCTATATGCATTTATGAACACAGGTAGACACGCAGATGACGGATGCAAACCCAAACCCAACACAAAAGCGTCAGCGGACTCAGAAAACTCAGACGACCGCTGCCGCATCGGTAGGTGGTTTGTAAACTGTTGACATGAAAATTGTATGTGTTTCGCTATTGGTTTGAGCATTGACCTTGTTTAATCAAGCGTCTTATGTATGTGTGTCTGAGTACTATTGATTTGAGCATTGAACTTGCTTAATCAAGTGTCTTATGTATGTGTGTCTGAGTACTATTGATTTGAGCATTGAACTTGTTTAATCAAGTGTCTTATGTATGTGTGTCTGAGTACTATTGATGTGAGCATTGAACTTGTTTAATCAAGCGGCTTGTGTCTGTGTGTCTGGTTACTATTAATCTGAGCATTGAACTTGTTTAATCAAGTGTCTTATGTATGTGTGTCTGAGTATTATTGATTTGAGCATTGAACTTGTTTAATCAAGTGTCTTATGTATGTGTGTCTGAGTACTATTGTTTTGAGCATTGAACTTGTTAATCAAGTGTCTTATGTATGCGTGTCTGAGTACTATTGATTTGAGCAGTGAACTTGTTTAATCAAGTGTCTATGTATGTGTGTCTGAGTACTATTGATGTGAGCATTGAACTTGTTTAATCAAGCGTCTTGTGTCTGTGTCTGGTTACTATTAATCTGAGCATTGAAGTTGTCTACGTGTCTGCGTATCTACAAGGGGGCTTCTAAATATTTGTATGTGTGTGTAGTGGGCGTACCTATACATATCAGTGTCCTCGCTAACAACCCATCCTCTCATTCTATATGCTGCAGGGGCAGAAAGGGGCCAAGCAGAAAGCCTTTAAAACCCAGACGAAAGAGAACAGGAAGATCACATTACAGAAACTGCGTGCGAAGGCCAAGGCCGATGGCTCCAACACGACTGCAGCCGTAAGTGTATATACATCTCTGCACATGCACGCGTTTCCCTACAAGGTCATATGTTCAGTTTGTGCATGGGCATATATGTACGGGATCGCATTTCGTCCGTTGGCCTATGCATGTGTGTGCATGTCAAAACGTTCCATTTCTTATCACAGTCATCCCTGCCATGGGGTTGACTGGCCGCTGGTTGAGATTAGATACAACTGTGCGTGAAGTAGCATGTGAACAAGTGGGAGAACGCTATCAAACCACGTACGACTGTGTGTGTGTGGACACACTGAACTACTGCTGATGCTGGGCAGGAGAGGCATACGTTTGACCTTGTGGTTTGTAGGGTTTTAGGGTTTTATTTGAGGTCACCGTGCTTTTTATGTTGTCCTTCGCCTCAGACTATAAAGCTATGCGCCTGTGCTGGGCTATACTATACACGTATGTATATATATATATATAAATACATACATGCATATTTTGCGCCTGTGCTGGGCTATACTATACACGTGCATGTGTATATTTATATATATCCCTATAAATATATAAATACATACATGCATATGGTGCGCCTGTGCTGGGCTATTTTATACACGTGTATGTGTATATCTAAATATATACATATAGATATATAAATACATACATGCATATGGTGCGCCTGTGCTGGGCTATACATGTGCATGTATATATATATATATATATATATATATATGCATATACATATAAATATATAAATACATACATGCATATGGTGCGCCTGTGCTGGGCTAGTATTCTGTTTGCCCGTGCAAGTGTGCACAACTCTCGGTTGTATTTCGCATAAAAATCGTTAAAAAGTTTCCGTATCGCGTGTGTCGGTTTACGTTCAACGTGGTTTTATATGCGAGTACATAACTTCCCACACATGCACGTGCGATGAATATTCACAAAGCCGCGGATATGGGGTTGATAAACCTGGGTTTAATATTGTGTATTTGTGGTCAACCGATCAATGCATTCACAAGTTTGCTGCCAGTATAAACCCTTTTCCCTCGATAGGGTCTGTGGTTGCTATGGTGATATTCGGGGTTTTTGTTGTTGTTGTTGGAAGTATCTGTAGCGCTTGTACTAGAATGGCGTGCGTATCATCCGCATGACTCAACCTGATACCCGTGCATGTTCAATTGTATGTCGTTCTCGCTCGGTGTAAGTGTCTTTGTTCCGAGTTTTGGTGTTGTGTTGTTGTATGCCTATGCCTGGTTGCCGCGATGCTCACAGCTGAGTCAGTTGTGTCGTAGTATTGAGCAACGCACCTCTTCGGGGATCAATCAGAACTCACAATTGAGCGCTACAGTTGACATGTGATTGCATACTATCATGGCCATATATATATATATAACTTCTCTCCTTAGCTACACTTCATTCAAACGACACCATCAAGTCTTGTGTGTTGAGAGGATTGGCGTTCGCGTGTTATTCTTTTGCCTAGTGTGATGCATCGGCCTATTTATGGTATACACATGCAAATACATATTTGAGTGCGAATTAACATATTCACACCGTTGACCGTTTTGAATTGCACTGCAGACCACGAAGAAAGGGAAGTCGAATGATACGAAAGTAAACGCATTGGCAGATGCGCAAATGTCCGAGAAGACCACTCGACCAGGCAGGAGACAACGGGCAGCCGCTAAAGCCGAAGCGGTGAGTGAGGTTGTATGTCTGCATACGTTCGTGGGGTTGTATGCGTGGATACGTTCGTGGGGTTGTATGCGTGGATACGTTCGTGGGGTTGTATGCGTGCATACGTTCGAGGGGTTTTATGCGTGCATACGTTTGTGGGGTTGTATGCGTGCATACGTTCGTGGGGTTGTATGCGTGCATACGTTCGTGAGGTTGTATGCGTACATCCATTCGCGGGATTGTATGCGTGCATATGCTCGTGGGGTTGTATGCGTGCATACGTTCGTGGGGTTGTATGCGTGCATACGTTCGTGGGGTTGTATGCGTGCATACGTCAGTGGGGTTGTATACGTGCATATGTTTGTGGGGTTGTATGCGTGCATATGTTCGTGGGGTTGTATGCGTGCATACGTTCGTGGGGTTGTATGCTTGCATATGTTCGTGGGGCTGTATGCGTGCATACGTTCGTGGGTTGTATGCGTGCATACGTTCGTGGGGTTGTATTCGTGCANCGTNGGGTGTATGCCGTGCAATCGNTTCGNGGGGGTTATGCGTGCGAGTACGTCGTGGTGTGTGTGCGTCGGTACGTACGTACGGTTCGGTTGGGTA